ATTGTAGAGTCGAGCGCCTTATCCACCTGGACTTGAGATAGTAGTTAATTGATTATCTGACATGTGGAGTTTCAGTTATTTTTAATATTTACAATTTTTCTAGTTAAGACGACATACATATAAGTTCTACGGTCTCGGAGTATTTTAACTAGTTGTGTGTAGGCCTGGCATGGCCTAGAAGCTAGCTTGCCGGACTGTTAATCCGAGGGTCTATGGTTCCCGTCCCGTTGCTGCAAAATTGCGTTCCGTACACTGGGGACGTGGATGCGTTATGGGAGTGACGGTCAAATTCATACTGTTCGATTAGTGTTTTTATTTTGTATTTATGGTAAAGCTACTAAGGCTATGTGTCGCCGTCCTTGATTTTAAACTACTGACCTTAAGGAAGACAACTAACCAGCAGCACCTTACTATCCACCGTCCAAGTAAAGGAGTTGACTATCACTCTTATAATTCACCAACAACTTAAATTGTGGTGTAATATCACACGGATTAGAACTCTGGTTGCCATTTCCGATATCCAAAGTTCTACCGTATGGTCAATCTTGCCCATTCAGTTTGAGCAGCCCCAGATTGGCACAAGGTGCTGTTGGCTATCTCCCTTCCCTCTGTCTAGTCTATAAGTTCAGAATTATGTTCGGCTAGCGGATATAGTTCTTTTGAGCTTTGTTCAAGTAGTATTCTATGGAAAGAGTTAATTATGCTATGTTGATAGACTAATATATATATATACATATTACTGTTTGTTTGTTTGTATTTAAGCACAAAGCTACACAATGGGCTATCTGTGCTCTGCCCACCACGAGTATCGAAACCCGGATTCTAGCGTTATAAGTCCGCAGACGTACCGCTGTGCCATGGGGGGCATATATTATTGTATACCTTAAGTTGAATCAAAAGAAATTAAATATTCCCATTCTTTAAAAAGTACGAAACAAAAGCTCAATAATTTGTGAAACTAAATATAATAAAACCTATCAATTTTTCAGTGAGGATCGGGTGTTTTTTTTCTCAACGAATTTAGTTTTCGGGCGAAAATATGGTTTTTTTTTACTTGTCTAAATATTTTTCTAAATATAACATTTGCAAACAGAAACTAAACTGAGTTAGAAAGAAATTAAACGTAGGAATCTAGAAAACGGAATTTTAATGAATAAATAACCATTTTTTTTTGTCGTACAATAAAATTGAGAATTTGTAATGTTAGACTAATTCCGTGATCATGCAAATAGAGTTTAATCATGAAGAAGGGTTTGTTGTTTTACTAGTTGTTTGGTTTATTTTATTAAGGGGTTCACTATAATCCATCCTGAATATATAATATGGGATTTATATAATTAATCAAAACATTTGTGTAATGAACTAGCTCTACTGTAAGCATAAGTTCTCCGTTTAGTCTGCTGTACAACAAAGAATGCCTGTTCAATTCATACAAATTATAGTTTTTCAAATATTTTTAACTTAAAGAAAACAAACACATTTGTGCGAAACCTAAATTACACATCTAAACTTTGTTGTATAACTAGAACCTCAAGTTTATTGCCAGGATCAAAAGTCTGTTTAGATGTGTACACAAGTTTCAACATTGTTAAGATACTTCTAATATTCTGACCCACTCAAACATAATTGTTATGTCTGGTTTGATCTGCTAATGAAAAGCGTTTCTGTAACCCGGTGGCTCGGCGATAAGTCTGAGGACTTATAACTCTAAAAATCGGGCTTCGATACCCGCAGTGAGCATAGCACAAATCAGGGTCTTACCAAAGGTAGTGCGAGAGATGCACCCGCATAGAGCATCGACTGGTAAGGGGCGCGAATTTGTATCTTTCAAGAAAGGGGTTGATTAGATTTTTTTAGGAGGGGGTGCAGAACAGGGCACCGTTAATGATCAGTAGGCCCTGGCAGTGGATAGTCTATTATGCTTAACAAAAACAACGTTCTTGTATACATAAGCTTTTCTCGTCACGTCTTCTAGCGAGAACACTAAACATACTATGATAAACACATCCTATTCGCCAGTCATGTGATCACGCATACTTGATTTGATACATATCACTAAATTTACATATTCCACTGTACGTTGTTTCTAACCACCTAGTGGACGGCCCCCCAGTGGCACAGCGGTATGTCTGCCGACTTACAACGCTAGAAACCGGGTTTCGATACCCGTGGTGGGCAGAGCACAGATGGCCCATTGTGTTTCTTTGTGCATAAATTCAAACAAACCTAGTGAACGAACCAGTATAACTAGAATTTCATCTAGGATAATTAGATTCAAATATTTCACTCTACATTCTTTTAAGTACGAAATTTTGTTTTATTAGGAATAAAAACTACTCTTAAATCAACTTACTGATAGGTTGTACGAAACAGCCTACACAAATGCTTTTTTTTATAATAAATATATGTTTACCCATATATTGTAATAGATTATAGATATTGTTTATTTTACAAAATTAACAATATTAACCTTATCTAAATAATATTGTTTATTATACTATTTGGAAATCAGTTTGTTTTTCAACTTATAAATACAATTTAATATTACGTAATTACTTATCAAAATATTCATACATGCTAGCTATTATATAAGCGTGATGAATTCATATTTAAGCCAGATTTGGTTTAAAACAAATCTGTAATCCAAGTGTTAAAATATAAACAGGTGAATGTCGTCTTACAATATACTTAGCACCTTAAACGACCGTAATTATTGTATATCATTGTATCATGGAAAACAAGGTCATGTTATTCTTGTTGTTCCAAAGTAAATCTTATATTTTTATACCGATGACTAAGATATTATAAAAACTTACTTACAATATGAGAGCCACTAAAGACGACAAAAAAGTATTATTTTCGGTGGTGTTATAGGCTTAAAATTCGATAGGCAATTCCCCACCATCGTTTTTTTTTTTTGTCATAATGGCGTAGGAACAAATTGGCAAGAAATGTACGTTGCTTAACTTAATTCCATTGCAAATCCATAAATCTGATAATATATAAAAATGGTATTGAATAAAAAAAAATGAATTCTTAGTGTCCAATCTTAATAATTTCTTGAAAGCCTGCTTTGGAAGTCTTATAGCATCTTCGTTCCGATATAATAGCTTAACTGTAAGGTCTCCTCTAAAGGTGTATTAATGGACACGGTTTTTAACTGACGAATAGTGGATATTATGCTCTATATACTTATCTAACTGTACACAGACGTGTGCGTGTATTGTATATAGTTGAGTGACTGGTATGGTACAAACACTTACTAATTACTTTAGAGGAAGTTACCCGTATGAACAGAACAGTACACGTTACTATTATTATTATTGACTATTTCAATTTGTTTTAACAAATGATAATGTGAGATTGTCATTAGTTGGTATGACATCTTTTTTTTTTTTTCATAGGAAACGTTTTACTTCTAATTAATTCTTGGAATAATAATTATATTGGCATTTTTCCTACCTCTTTTTAAAATACGTGTTTTTTTTTTCATTAGCGTTGCAGAGACGTTTATTGCCCGAGTAGCGAAGCCATGGTTTTGGCCAGATTTTATATTTTATAGAACACAGCTAGGTAAGAAGTTTCTGAAGAGTACTGAAACAATGGACAAGTTTACACGTCAAGTGAGTCTTTTAGTTATACAGCAAAAATTGGGTTATAGCACATTCACCGTATTCTAACCCGTTATAATCGTACCTTAAGAAACACACAACAATTTAATTATTTAGTTATCACATTATAGTTAATGTAAATGTAAACATGATTAATAACATGCAAGTTTTTCCTCTGAAAGTTCGAATGTCTCTTAGTGGCTCTGCGTAAGTCAGAAGGCTTATAACGCTGAAAATCGGGTTTCGATACCCACGGTGGGTAGATAAATGATAGCCCATTGTGTAGCTTAGTGACTAAGCACAAAAATCCACAATCCAATCTGAGAATTCAAACATGTAACGAGGAGACTCTTTAACTGAGTTTTCAAGTCGGCTGTTTACTGAACAAATTAATAGAATATTACATGTATATCATATAGTAAATTGTGAAGTAAAAAAAAAAAAAAGAAAAAGAATTACACCGGCCCGGCATGGCCAGGTGGTTAGGGCGCTCGACTCGCAATTAGAGGGTCGCGAGTTCTAATCCCCGTCCCACCAAACATGCTCGCCTTTTCAGCCGTGGGGGCGTTATAATGTGACGATCAATCCCACGATTCGTTGGTAAAAGAGTAACCCAAGAGTTGGCGGTTGGTGGTGATTACTAGCTGCCTTCCCTCTAGTCTTACACTGCTAAATTAGGGACGGCTAGCGCAGATAGCCCTCGTGTAGCTTTGCGCGAAATTCAAAACAAACAAAAATTACGTGGTAGCTGATGTCGTAAAAACGGAAGTGGTCGGTAAAAATAATTGTATTCCAAGATTCTTCTTTTATTCGTTTTACGGTCATAAACTTGATTTTTGAAGAGGATTGTTTGTTTGCAGTTAAGCACAAAGCTACACAAAGGGCTATCTGTGCTCTGCCCACCACAGGTATCGAAACCTGGTTTCTAGCGTTGTAAGTCCGCAGACGTACCGCTGTACCACTGGGGGTTTTTGAAGAGGACTGCAATAAATATACATTTAAATGATAGCTATTAACTAAACGCAATAACAACAAAACGTACTAAGTTTTACTGCTGGTTCTATTTAAATTTACGCATATATAGGTTATACGAGCACGGAAATCAGAGAAGCTCAAACAGAAGGTGATAGAAAATGACGAAGATAATCAGCAGGATGAAATAGCGTCTGGCTACAGGAGGAAGAGACAGGCTTTCTTGGACTTGTTATTGGAACATCATCTTAAAGACAACACCTTAACCGAGGATGACATGCAGGAAGAAGTAGACTCTTTTATGTTTGCGGTAATAAATTTGGTTTAGTTACTTTTATTACATTTTATGCCTCTCTTTTTACAGCCTTTAAATAGTTTCAGGTGGGGTCTGGCATGACCTGACGGTTAGGACGCTCGATTCAAAATGTGCGGGTCGCGGGTTCGAATCCCCGTCACCGAACATGCTCGCCCTTTCAGCCGTGGGGCGTTTTAATGTGACAGTCATCCCCACTATTCGTTGGTAAAAGAGGAGCCCAAGAATTAGCGGTAGGTGATGTTGACTAGCTGCCTTCCCCCCTAGCCTATCACTTCTAAATTAGGGAATGATAACCCTCGTGCAGCTTTGCGCAAAATTCAAACCAAACCAAACTAGTTTCGTGCAGGTTATTTACACCAAGTCTACATAATCAAATCCTGACCGCGATAATTATTAGATATATTAATTTCAAAAATGGTTTTTCTCGTCCATTCTAATCGTTCGAAGATAAACCATGTTCCATATATCTTCTTTGGCTGAAGAGACAAAACCGAGGAAATAAAGAGTCAATTGTACGAGACTATCGAACAACTGGTTTGTCCAAAATTTTTCTCTTCTAAACAAGTAAGGTACAAACTATATGTGATAGACAGAAGCTATATTAAAGATAAATTTAATCACACTTAAGCTATTGTTATGATAATTTAAACTAGAGCAGTAGAGTTACCTGTATTTAGATTTAGTTTATATTTAGTCAGGTACGAAAATTAGGTTGTGGTTTGTTGGTACCTGTTTAAAAGAAAATCGTTCATATCATGAGATCATCACTCTCATTCGCCGTGAAAAATCAAATTTGCTTGTTTCTCAAAATAATGATTCTTATCACTTTATCTTGAAGTCATCCAGCAAGATACTTATAACCTAGTTGTTGTTAACTGTGAAAATACACAGGATAAGGCTTAAAGCACGTTAAAACTAAACGATATAAGAAGTAGCGTACATAAAGTGTTCCACAAACACACGTGCAACAATCTGCTTAGAGTAGATGCAGAAAGCATATTTTACGTAATCGATAAGTCTATGTGGCATGATAATCTGAACAAAAAACGATTAATTTAGAATGGCACACTACTCAAAGTTCATAGTTTCGTGACCTTTCTTCTATTAAAATCTATTTAAATTTGAAATGTTCTAGGTTAAATAACCTTCTCGAAACCTTTTTATTTAGAAAATAACCACTAAATATGAAGCTAAGTTTGATTTCATTTCTAAATAAAATCTCGTTTAACGACGTCCCAAATAAGTAATTTTTTGTCTTGCTATGGGACAGCGGTATGTCTACGAAGTTCCAACGCTAAATGGGCCCGACATGGCCAGGTGGTTAGAGCGCTCGACTCGCAACCTGAGGGTTCGCGGATTCGAATCCTTGTCCCACCAAACATACTCGCCCTTTCAGCCGTGGGGTTGTTATAATGTGACGGTAAGTCCTACCATTCGTTAGCAAATAAGTAGCCCAAGAGTTGGCGGTGGATGATGATGACTAGTTGCCTTCTCTCTAGTCTTTCACTGCTAAATTAGGAACGGCTAGCGCAGATAGCCCTCGTTTAGCTTTGAACGAAATTCAAACCAAACCAACGCTAAAATTTGGGGTTCGATTCCTTTCGATGGACATATTTCAACGTGATTTTGTTCTAAAATAAACTATTTTCTGAGTTGTATGTCTGCCAGTGGGGCAGCGGAAGTTAACGAAGTTGAAACGCTAAAATCCGTGGTTCGATTACCCGTAGTGGACACAGCGCAGATAGCCAATTGTGTAACTTTACGCTAAAATATAAGCAAACTTACAAACTCACACGATTTGTGTAAATGTAACGATAAGTACAAATGTATGTTTATTCAGGGGTAAAACATGCCCAGCCGTAGGCCCGTAGTGCCTACTTAACCAACAGAACAAGCATTTCATAAATTAGGATTTGTAGCATCATCACCCAGCTCTTTTAAACCAAATATGAAGTGCCCTCTGGTGACGCATGGAGTTAAATCATAATATTAGGATGATTTGAACTCAATTGTTCAATTCATAGGCATGGTAGAACGTTTTTAACAGCCAGTTTGCGAGAAAAGGCATCCATGTTTCTCCGATCTTGAAAATGTGATTAGTGGTGCTTTACATTATTTTCCCAATTAACTATAATACGAGCACATACATAGAAAAAAAAGACCAATGACTAAGACGTTATTTCATATTAATTTTGGTGCTTGTACAGACAATGTTAACCGTGCTTAACTTGGCGCAACTAATTTTCTAAATTGGATTTACACTCAGAAAGCATATATTATAGTATACTGACTCTTAAAAGTATATTAGGCATGTACAAGAAAATACAGGCAGCATGGAAACCCCAACACCATTAACATGCAAATGCATCCAACAAGCTTCCTAGATATGCATCAAACAGAACGATTAATACTTTAAAGATACCGACGAATTTGCACTTGAATGGGTTGGGCGTCCAATACGTGGTGCAAAATTACTGTTTCTTATAAAGAGTAAACCAGAATGGTTAAGATCTTGCAAACCTTAAGCTGAACAGATGTTCAAGTAATTAAAGGCTGACTACCAACATGAGTACATGAGTACCAAACATAGAAGCTTGCACTTAATTAAAGCAACTTATTGAAAAACTAAGCTTTGTCTAATAATAGACAAACCTAGAAGCTTGCACTTAATTAAAGCAACTTATTAAAAAACGAAGCTTAGTCTAATAATAGACAAACTTAGAAGCTTGCACTTAATTAAAGCAACTTATTGAAAAACGAAGCTTAGTCTAATAATAGAGCACCAAACCTAGAAGCTTGCACTTAATTAAAGCAACTTATTGAAAAACGAAGCTTAGTCTAATAACAGAGCACCAAACCTAGAAGCTTGCACTTAATTAAAGCAACTTATTAAAAAACGAAGCTAGTCTAGTAATATAGAACCAAATCTAGAAGCTTGCACTTAACTAAAGCAACTTATTGAAAAACGAAGCTTTGTCTAATAATAGAGCACCAAACCTAGAAGCTTGCACTTAATGGAAGCAATTTATTGAAAAACGAAGCTTAATCTAATAATAGAGCACCAAACCTAGAAGCTTGCACTTAATTAAAGCAACTTATTGAAAAACGAAGCTTTGTCTAATAATAGAGCACCAAACCTAGAAGCTTTGCCTTAATTAAAGCATCTTATTGAAAAACGAAGCTTTGTATAATAATATAGCACCAAACCTAGAAGCTTGCACCGAGAGTTGGACGTCTATGTGTGTGACCAAGGTATGAGAGGAAGCCCTATTTTATTGTTTCACAGAGTTGTTGGAAACTTTGACATTTCAGAGACGGTTATTTGGTTGAAAACACACATTCCTAACACTGATGGACTGTTCCCAACAGATCAGCAACTTCGGTCAAATATTTCATTGATTCGCAATGTACATAAGACGACTGATAAACGTTTTACTGTTGAGGTCTAAAGAATAATTTGTTTATTTATTTTATCAGTACATGTTCTCTATTACAGGGACTCCAGCAGCTTTTAAAGCCTTCCATACAGATAATGCACTGTTACATGCAAATATACTCTAAGCCATGGGTTCCCAAACTTTCTCAGCATAAGGCCTTCACAACATTCCGCATCCTAACTGAGTTCTCCCACCCATTAAATGGATCTATAGATATTGAGTACCTATTGCGTATTTTGTGTACGTGCTATGGCACCCCTGAAACTTTACTGCGGCCCCCAGTTTAGGACCCACTGCTCTATGCAGTGCTTTCTGGTCATGAATATTACTTTAAGAAAAGTGATGACTACTTTGGTAGGAGATCCTGTGTTTGGAAGGCAATATTTCCATGATCAAAAGGAGCATCAATAATGTTATTAATGCGCGCTTCAGATCTTATACCGATCTAAAATCAACATAAATATGATATATATACAAATATAATTTTCTATTGAATCGGCTGTTAATTTTCCAAAAAAATATTTTTTACAATTTTTTTTGGTAAAATGCCATCATCCCTCTATTGATTAACACCCAGAAAGGTGTTATATGTGCATCGTAACAGCATACAAAATTTGAGAAAAATTAAGTGGTTCGTCATAAAAATATTTGTAAGATGTGTCGCTTCATCTGTAAAAGTCGTTTTAGAAATGTAAAAAATCTCATTAACGAACGATGAAATAGTGATACAAGAACATTTGTTTACTCAATGATCCTAATGTGATACTTCTAAAGTTACACTAGTAAAGTCAGAGATTTACAAAGTACGATTAACTTTTTCAGGGCCATGATACAACGGCAGTAGGAATCAGTTGGGCCATATATGCTTTAGGTCTGTACCCTGACGTTCAGAGTAGGGTACAAGAAGAAGTTGATTCCATATTTGGAGACGACAAGGACCGACCAATCACAGCAGACGATCTTAAACAAATGAAGTACATGGAGCTGGTTTTGAAGGTAACACTGTACTATTAGAAACTTGTATAGTTTTCTAAAAATGTTCGCTTAGTTTTAATTTTTCGTTGTCTAGTTGTTATAGAAAGGGTATTTTAAAGTAATAATGATTTTAAGTAATTTTTCCTAAAACAATATAAGATTAAAATAGTATATACAAAGGAATGTCGAATTGCATAAAAACTGTGTTCTCTGAGCTTTCTTTACGATTTTTTAAACATTTCAAGAGACGACTATATATGAACAAAATAAGCAGATTTTTATTTTCAGTTATGTTTATTAAGTTGAAGGAATTGTTAAAATACCATGTTTGTGGTTTGAACCATATAAGTTTTATTTTCCTTACACTTTTTCTTGGTTACATTTCTGTGGTTTTCCCTGAAACTGAACTATTTCCTCACATTAACATACACGTGTTTGTAAAGTGACTTTCAGTTCTTAGACGTTCAAGGATGTTAGCATCTTATTTATTCATCATTTAACCTTCTTTCGACGGTTTCACAAATGCGTCATACTGTATTCTACACTCAGGAAACATCTTCAAATAGAATGGTTTATTTACAGACACAGGGCGAAGAAAAGCAATTTCAATATGCTTTCTATTAATTTAGTAATTAAATTGTTCGATTCATATTTTGACACAGTTCTTTCTATAAACATTTAAATAAATGCCTTTGTCAAAATATGTAAATTTTAAAATAACAGTTGTTTTTAATTGACTCAAGTTGCAGATCAAAGTAATTTTCCCCTCTGTTTTTTAAACGAAATGGTCATTGCTTAATTAATGAAAGTAGGGATTAATATCGACAAAAAAAAGATTGTGTAATTTTGTAAAGCTATTTCGGAAAATATAATGTGACATTTTGTAAAGGTATTTCGGAAACTAAGATTGTGTAATTTTTTAAGTTATTTCGGAAAATAATAATGTGACATTTTGTAAAGGCATTTCGGAAAATAATAATGTGATATTTTTAAAGCTATTTCGGAAACTAGGATTGTATAATTTGGTAAAGCTATTTCGGAAAATAATAATGTGACACTTTGTAAAGGGCCCGGCATAGCCAGGTGGTTAGGGCGCTCGACTCGCAATCTGCTGGTCGCAGGTTCGAAACCCGTCACACCAAACATGCTCGCCCTTTCAGCCGTGGGGGCGTGATAATGTTACGGTCAATTCAAATATTCATTGGTAAAAGAGTAGCCCAAGAGTTGGCGGTGGGTGGTGATGACCAGCTGCCTTCCCTCTAGTCTTACCCTGTTAAATTAGGGACGGCTAGCGCAGATAGCCCTAGTGTAGCTTTGCACGAAATTCAAAGCAAACACTTTGTAAAACTATTTCTGAAACTAAGATTGTTTAATTTTGCAGAAATGTTTCGGAAACTGATAATGTGAAGTTTTGTAGAATTGTTTCGAAAACTAACGGTGTGACATTTTCTCTGTTAGGAAACTCAACGTGTTTTTCCATCAGCTCCATTCATAGCACGGGATCTTGTTGAAGACTTAAATGTCAGTAAGTATACAGTAAAATGATCAAAACAAACGGTTATGTTGTCTCTCCTTAAGATTAATAGTTATTCAGATCTCACTAACAATGTCTTTGAAACATAATTTCAAATACGGACAATTGTGAGTGTTCTTTATATCACAAATGTTATCACAGTGATTTCGTTTTTTGATGGTGAGAAACTATATATTTTTAATCTGATAAACTTATAAGTTATATACACTTGCATTTCTGTAACTTTGGACTCATACTGTGGTTTACTTAAAGGTTCCAACTTGAAAGACAGAGAAATTAAGAAGATTTATTTGAAGACCAACTGAGTCAGATGTGTGCATTACGAAGCAAAGAATACGTCTGAAGTGCTGATTTTACACACCTCTGACTCAAAATATATAATTGCACAAATAAAAAGGACGTTAAAAACATACCTTTCAGTATTAACTATTTCAGTGTGAACTATTTGTTCACATCCATCACTAATTTTGAAC